GAATATTCTTTGCATGTGGCTTGGTTCCTGAGCATCTTGACTGAACTCTAGCATTCAACTCAGCATTGATCAGGAAGAGACTCCATAGTTAGATCATTGCTCCTTACTCCTTTGGTATATGCTTGGGGGAAGAGACAGCTGGGACTTGCCCAAAGTCTAACAGCAGCAACAGATTGGTTCTGGGTGTCCTGTTTTGGTCTTCTCTTTCCACTGGTATACATGGAAGAGCCTCCAACTGGGATAGAGACTTTCCATAATATGTTCATCTAAGTGAACACACTGGTTTTGAATATCAAAAAGGAAGGACAGAGCTAGGATCAGTAGTGAGTTCATACACCAAGGGGTGGGGGGAAATGTTTTTGCAAGCCATACGCAAAGTAACCAGAAATGAACAAATAAGTTTTATTGTACTGTATATTTACTGACACAAAAATATTATGCAGGTAAAAAATATTATGAAAGTAATGAGTTGATCAAAATTATTGTTATTGCTATGGATTAAAATTAATTGCTATATAATTTTAGTATATATAAGTACATATTATTTATGTACATGTAAGTATATATTTTTCCCCTCTGGATCATTTAAGGAAGAACAGGAATGCCTCTAAAATTGGTTTTCCTTTGTCTCCTTGACACTGCACATGTCTGCCTCTGGCTTCTGCCTTTTGGTTATTTTCATGGTGGACAGCTGAAGAGATGTTCGTGCAAGGCACCAGTTCATCAGCATATTGATAGAACACTGCTAGAATGTAGTGACCTGAGGAATGAGACATAGGGGGAATGAATCTTGGTGGAAACAATAAAAGGAGTACCAAAGAAGGAAACAGTATACCATGGTGAAGACCAGGTAGAAGAGAAGAGCTTTTTCTAAAAAATGAGAAGTCGTCACAGAAAGGGCAGTGGAAGCTGCCAAGATAATACTGTTGCTGCATCACAGTTTTGTCCAGAATTTGCTTTTCTTTGATTGCTACGATTTTTAGAGGTTTTGGTGGGTTCTTTTATTTTTATATTTACAAATTTATTTGTTCATTTGAAGAGCAGAGTTATGAGAGAAAGGATTGGTGGGGAGAGAGAGAGAGAGTCTTCCATTGGCTCGTTAATTTCCAAGTGGCCAGTCTGGATGAAGCTATGCCAGCCCTAACCTAGAGGAGCCTGCAGCTTCTTCTAGATCTCTCAGTTGGGTGAAGATTTCAGCCTGGCTCTTCTGCCAGGCACATTAGTAGCAAGCTGGATTGCAAATGGAGCGGCAGGAATACACACTGAGGCTCATATGGGAAACTGGTGTCACAGACAATGGCTTAAGTGTTATACCATTACACCAGCACCTATTATCTCTTTTTAGTTATAACACATTTGTAAGTTTACCTAGTATTTTGCAGGCCATCTGGCACAGTGATAGCCATAATCTTAAGATGTTCTGTTAGTGAACCTAAACATGTTCTGGTTGATGTTTCCATTTTGGAAGACAATGATATTGAGCCACAAGGTTGTAACTGACCGAAACTCACATAACTAACTAAGGTGTGGCAGCTAATCTGGAGACACACATCTTATTTCTCAGGGGTTCTTCCTTCTGGACTCTGTGAACTTGGGAGAACTCAAACTTTTCTTACTAGCTCTATGGCTTTGGACACATCACTAACTACTCTGAATCTCATTTTTTTTAATTCATAAAAGGGAGTAATCTTTATTATTTTTTAAAAGATTTATTTATATATTTTTGTTACAAAGTCAGATATACAGAGAGGAGGAGAGACAGAGAGGAAGATCTTCCATCTGATGATTCACTCCCCAAGTGACTACAATGACCGGTGCTGCACCAATCTGAAGCCGGGAACCTGAAACCTCTTCCTGGTCTCCCACCCGGATGCAGGGTCCCAAAACTCTGGGCCATCCTCAACTGCTTTCCCAGGCCACAAGCAGGGAGCTGGATGGGAAGCGTCGGGATTAGAACCGGCGCCCATATGGGATCCCGGCGCGTTCAAGGCGAGGACTTTAGCCACTAGGCCATGCTGCTGGGCCCAAGTAATCTTTATTTTTACAAAAGATTTTATTTTTGTTTGGCAGCAATGGCCAGTGAAGGGCTGGGCTGAAACCAGAAGCTTCATCTGAGTTCCCAGGACTTGGTTTATCCTCCCTGCTTTCTCAGGCCACAAACATAGAACTGGATTGGAAGTGGAGCAACCATGACTTGAACCAGCATCCATATGGGATACTAGCACTTGAAAGGGCAGGATTAGTCTATTGAGCCATTGTACTGACCCTAAAGGGAGTAACCTGAATTTGGGGTAGAACTGTTGTACCTTTACTGTCCTTACTGAACAGTGAAAGTGAAGCGATAAACTAGGGAAAAACTTTACATTTCAGTCAGTGATATCAAATCTCCTTGATTTAATTTACTTCCTTTGAAAGTGTGTGTGTGTGTGTGTGTGTGTGTGTGTGTGTGTGTGTGTGTGTGTGTGTGCATATCTTGGGGTCCACTGGTATGTAGGTACTCAAGTGTGTTTGTGTGTATGTCTTAGAGTAAAATAGTGTCTCCTATATCACTAAGATGTGTAGAACGAGACACAACAATCAAACATGGAGCATTTGTGTACTTCAGACAACTGAATACTGGATCGTGGTCTAAAGCTAATTCAACCAGTGGATCCTGATTCTGTGATGTAGTGGGGTTCCAGAAACACAGTTTTTTTTTTTAACTCTGTAGCTTTCAGAATAATACCTAGAGTTTCCCGCTAGATGACTCAGCAAGCTGTTGGCAGGTTCCCCTCAGTAGAAACACAAGTATGAACTCACACAAAATTGCATTCACTTTTGAATATGCTTTATTTACAATTCATTCTTTCTTGAAATCTTTTAGAATCATCTTGGTTAAAATCAGTACATAAAATAATCTTCACTGTATTTGTTACATATGGCACAGAATAATTTAACATTGTATAAATATGTTTCATTGATGCACAAATGGGAGAAGCACCCTTTGCTAAAAGCAATATGGTGATTTAGTTCAATTTGGCAATAGTAGCACTTTAAAAAACGACCATTAGATGGCACTGTGGCCAAGTAGATTATGCTTTAAACTGAGCTTCCTGTAATTGTAACATTTAATTCCTTTCTATCATTCAAGTTACAGCAGAGCAATATTTGTTACTCTGGTTTAATGGTACTGTCTAGGAGTGAATCCCTTCATCACAGAACTGTAAATCATCTGAGGAACGTACTTCACAGACATGAGCAGTGTTTTAAAAACCTTGACACAAAGTCCCCAGACAAAACGAAGGGCCCAGGATCCTGTTTTATTTAAGATCAATAAATGATGTATGGACCATTTTTCTCACCACCTCACAGAATTGCATTAAAGTCTTTTCACAAAATGAGATCCAGTTTATTTAAAGGACTGGCATCTTTGTCACTCTTCAGTTTGCTGTCACAGCCATGGAAGGTCATGGGAATATTAAGAGATTGATTCACATTTCAGTGGACATAATGCAAACATGCACACATGTGTATATACCAAGTGTCTTTACTGACTGACTTTCCCTCCATATAAATATATAAATATTGAATAAAGTGCATGAGAACAGGTCTGTACATATATACAGATAGACATTTGTCTATATACACTTGAATATATATTTTTGGAGAGAAAAAAAAGAAAATATGAACATGTTTGTAATATATGAAGCCAAAAGACTTCTGTCAGGCAACAGTGAGGTCATTCTGACAGTTGCCATAAACTTTAGGCAAAAACTAGTTTTTATTCCGTAGAACCGTCTCAGCATTCTGATCATGTGCCTAATATCTGTTCCAGTAACAGTGTTTGACTATTACAGTATCAGAGGAAGCAACTATTCCTAGTTACTTTCCTCTTTAATAAGGTTTTTTTTCCTGTAAAACATTAGATTTATTTACTGTTTTTATTGGTGAGTTTCATATTAGTGAGTTAACTTAAAACAAATGAGTTTTTTAAAGAGTTACGAAACAAAAAGACTTTTTTCGGCAGTTACAAATTGGTAACTGATTGAGAGGCATATTTCTAAGTTAATTGCAATTTTTGATTTTTTTCAAGTTTATAATGTTTATTGATAGATTAGCTAAAATCAGGACATGAATGTGACTCGATAAATTGCAATGTTTGAGTTGACCTCAAATGATGTTTCCTTCCTTCTTTGGTTGGCATTCATCGTTTTATTTTTATATTTGCTAGTAGTACCTAGAAAATTGCTTCACAAATAAGTGTCTACTCAGCAGATGACTGTGGAACCTGGTTGAATGGTTTTAATAAATAGTATAGATTAACTAATCCGAAAACATCAATGAACCTGATGAGTCTCAATAGGAAAGCTGTCTACTCTTTACAGAGATGTCCTAAGATTCCACTGTTGTCAACAGCCAGAAACCTGAGTTTATTGCTCAATCCCGACGCAGTTACATCAACATACTGTTCACTGCTCAAAGGAGCGCATGCAGGATGCAGTCATTTCACAGCAAGATACCAAACACCTCAGTGGTGCTGTCTGAGAGGAGCACTTCTTACAAATGTATTTGGCAATGATAAATTATCCTCCCAGTTTACATAGAAGAACAAATATTAAACAAGACCACATTGGAAATTCAGAGTATAGCGTAAGAAGTAGAAGAGAAAGCAGCAATAATTGGTTAATACCATTTAAAGTCTTTTTACTTCTTAGCAGAAAAACTCAGAATGCATCAAAGGCCAGCAACTGTTTCAGTGTTTCAAAATGGCATCTATGAAAAACCAGGAATGAAAATGTCAAGTATTTCATTTGTCATAGCAATATAGATTGTATAACATTGTTTTTAGATCTTTCTTTTTTTTTCCAAAATATATATCTCAGTAGCTTTTAAGTAGAAGTGTTTCTTATTTAAGAGGCCACTCAATTGAACTGATTTTTCACTAGTGATACCTATTTGTATTTACAGGAAGAGATAACCAACTCAATCCCAAACCATCAATTAACAACCCAATAGCAAGGTTTCCATGTGACAATGAAAGTTAATTGAGATTTATTCAGGACCTCATTACAATTATACAATAAAAGCTAATTACTTTAAAGGTATATCATTTACAATGTTAAAAATAAGTATCATAAAGCTCACAGCAGAAATGCTGCCAGAACATGTTTGCAGTGCACATTTGTGGCATTTAACCCTGCTTCTCATTGACAGAATAAAATGAGGAATACAGATATTATTGTTGGTTCCATTAGACTGGCCTAATTTTTTTTCCAGTCTCCATAATACTTTTTTTCCCCCCAGGAAGGTGAAAATTTGCTCAGCATGTCCTCTACCATTGCCATGGCAACTAGTCTATCACACACAGCTAACCTTTTCATTCACTGTGTCGATATTGTCTGTAGAAGCATCATCTGAATGCTGCTTCCCTAGAGCCACCATAGTACAGTCATCATCTGTTGTCTTGGCATCTTTTTTGGAATTCTTTTTTTGTCCCATCTGGAGTTGACTTGACTTGTAGGCTAAGGCCGGTATAGTGTTCACTAGAATTAACTGCAGTGGTTTTTTGTTTTCCTTGTACTGACACTGGATGTACCGTGAAAAGGCTGACCGGTAGGTCTTGTTGAACAGGGTGTAGACCAGCGGGTTTACAGCTGAGGAGAGGTATCCGATCCAGACAAACACGTTGAGCAGGGCTGTGATGACATCCTCGTTGCAGGATTCTTTACAGATGACAGCCATAATGTTGGTGATAAAGAAGGGACACCACATCACCACAAACAGGAAGAAAACGATACCCAACACCTTGCAAGCCTTCTGCTCATTGCTGATGGACTGCATCGTCCTCCGACCTGTGTAGGACCCTGGCTCCCTGTGGATGGACCTCTGGAAAAGCTTTTCTGAAGACAAGGAACTCTGAGGGAGGAAGCTGAAAGAAGCTAATTTGGCTCGCGTGCCAGGATCACTCACACACAGTGTAGCTTCTTTCTGGAGTGACTTGATAGTTAGAAAGTAGGTGATCACCATGATAGTCAAGGGGATGAAAAATGCCACAAAAGAGCCAATCAGGACAAAGTTGTCATCAGCAAGTAAGCAACTCCCCTCTTTGAAGACCTTGGAGTCATCCTGTAGCCCAAAGACTGGTATTGGCATGGATATACCTAGAAATGGACAGCAAATGAATCAGAATTATTAAGGAATGAAATACATGAAACCAAGAGCACTGCCAACAGATGGTGTCTGTTCAAAGAATTTCATACTGATATTATTTAAAAGCATACATTTTCATGGAGAATTTCAGATTCTTTTGGACTTCCTTTGGAATTCTTATCATTATATGTTGCATTGTGCCCTAAATAGATAGCTTTTTCTCTATCAAAAACTACAGTAAGTCTAATTTTAATTTCCATGCCACATTTTCAGTTAAAACATTATGCTTATTAGTAGAAGAAAAGACACAGGAGCAAAAAAATGAATGACATGCTGCCATCTAGCTGTAAGAACCATTAACAGGTTGATGCTGTTTACTTTAGATCAAAACTCACCACATACCATGAGCACACATTTAGAAACACAATTGGGGTTCTGTTGCTTTCCACCTATCTATTGTCCCATGATTTTTAAAAAAGTATTTATTTTTTTTTATTACAAAGTCAGATATACAGAGAGGAGGAGAGACAGGGCAGAAGAACTTTCATCCGATGATTCACTCCTCAAGTGACCACAAAGGCCAGTGCTGTGCCGATCTGAAGCCAGGAGCCAGGAACCTCTTCCGAGTCTCCCATGCGGGTGCAGGGTCCCAAAGCTTTGGGCCATCCTTGACTGCTTTCCTAGGCCACAAGCAGGGAGCTGGATGGGAAGTGGAGCCGCTGGGATTAGAACCGGCGCCCATATGGGATCCTGGTGCGTTCAAGGCGAAGACTTTAGCCACTAGGCCACCACGCTGGGCCTTATTGTCCCATGAGTGTAGCTGATATATAAAGTAACATTATCAAATTGGACATATTTTATTTCTATAAAATTCAGAAAATACAAAAGCATATCAATCAATAAAGAAAAATATCAAGAATTCTCACCAGCTAAGGACAACCATGTTCTGTATTTCTCCACTCACACATATACATAAGTTATTTCTGCTCATATATGCAGTACATAAAGTAATAGATCATGAAACACATAACAGTAAACCATGGAAATTTCATGTACTTTAAAGTATTTTAGAAAAAATGTTTTCAATATTAATTTAACATAGCTTTAACCAGTTTCGATTTTTTAAAAAGTCTTTATTGTGAAAGATTTTTAGTATTTTTTAAAAAAAATAAAGGAAACTCACAGAAGGGCAACAGCAACAAATCCTGGTAGAATGATTCTACCTCCTGGTGATCGCTATGCTCAACAAAGATCATTCCAAACTAATCTTGTTTCACAGATACACCTATCTGCTCCCACCCACTTTGCATTATTCCACAGGAAACCCCAGATGTCACATCATTCTGTTAAGATTTTATGACAGTAAAAAGCCATGAACGGTGCTGGCATTGTGGTGAGGTGGGTTAAGCCTACCTATGATACCAGCATCCCATATGGGGTCCCATTTAAGTCCTGCCTGCTCCATTTCATTCCAGCTTCCTGCTGGGTACCAGCTATGTCAGAAGAACACGGCCCAAATTTACATTGACCTTGTTGTGTGGCAACATCTCTGCCCTGCATTTCTTGTGCTCTGGAGATGCCTGAAGATTGGATCTTTCTGTGCAGATTTCAGTCCCAATGGAGCCTGCTTCTGCTCCTGGAAGAGTGTCTTTCTCTATTGGCTTGTAACTGATCAGGCCAAAGAATTCATGAGATGGATGGTTAATTAGTAAGTTAAGCCTCTACCTGCAGAGTTGGCCTCCCATATTCAAGTCCCCGCAAGTGGTCTGGAAAAGCAGCAGAGGATGGTCCTAGTATCTGGGACAATGCAATAATGTGGAGGAAGCTCCTGGCTCCTAACTTTGGACCAGCCCAGCTCTGGTTGTTGCAGCCATTTGGAAAATGAACTAATTGATTTAAGATCTTGCGCTCTCTGTCTCTCTCCTTTAGTCTGCGAGTCTGCCTTTCAAATGAAAATAAAGCTTTATTTATTTATTTATTTATTTTTAGAAAAAAAGGATGAATCGATGATGAGAAAGAAGAAGAAATGCAATACTCTGTAAGTAGTGCATCCTCCAGAGGGACATCCTGGGGGAAAGAGAAAGTTTTCTCCTCCCTTGGCCTAGGTTTTAAGCTCCCTCAGGCCTGTAGCACAGCTTTACATGGAAACTGCTGCCTAACAGCCTAGAAAGGGGGTCTTGAGAAAGTCAAAGAGCACTGGGGTAATCCAGCAATGAGGCCACTGCTTTGCTAGTGGCAGCGTCTGGAGAAAGTTCCATTAAGGTTTCATAATTAAACTTCCGTCTACTCTGAGTTGGCTATATCCAACCTCAATAAAACTGTTCTAACCTCACATCACTTCACATTGGACACTCTGGCAGCAGTCTGTGCTAGAGTGTGTTTCTTAGTGTCATTTGCCATTATATTTACAGACTTAAATAACAATATTTATCCTTTGTCTATTCAAGGATGTCCCAGTATTCTTGGAAGGTGGTAATAAATGACATCAGCATGGTTCTTAAGGACACACACTGTCTCTAAGGACTCTTGATCTCCTGCATTCCTTTCTGTCCCTGGCTTCCTTTTGGGAACATTCCGTAGGCCAAGAAGTGGAAGAGGTTTGGTTCCAAGGGGAACATCCTCTGAAACCTTGGATAATCTTCAGTTTCACCTGTCTTTCAAAAATCTCTTGACTGTAAAATTTAACACATGTTTTCAGTTTTTTCCATTTTCCTCTTACCATATTATAATACCTGAATAATGAAAATGTTTAAAGGAATTGTGTCTTTTATTTGAAATACAGAGTTACAGAGAAGGAGAGGCAGAGGGAGAGACAGAGAGAGAGGGGCACATTAGCAAGGAGCTGGCTCAGAATTGGAGCAGCTGGGACTGGGAAGCTAACCAGTGCCAGCTTTAACCACTATGCCACAGCACTGGCTTAAATATATGATTTCTAAAAAGAGTGTTTTTTTCTATCAATATTTGAGTATATCTGTGAAAGATGTTTCCTTTGTCAGTAACGTATAGTCATTCTTCAGTAGTCATGTATGTTAATTCCAGGGCCCCCTGTAAATATCGAATTCTGAAACATACCATGTATATGGTGTGTATATATATGCATAGATATAGATATAGCTATGTTACAGTATTTGCATATAACCTATATACCTTCACATAAATGTAACATTAAAAAACCCTCAAAATTATTTATGATGCCAAATATAGTGTAAATGCTATGTGAACTGCTGTTACTACATTGGATGATGGTACAAAAAAAAGTGTACACAATCAGTGCAGCTGCAGCATTTAAAAAAATACTTTTGATAGTTGGTTGAATCCATTGATTGTATTATGACAGGCTATCCTTTGTCATTCATTGATTAGAATGGATGCCTGAATATTCACTGAATAACCTCTGGGTTGGCCTCTTGTCAGCATGATGTACATCATTTTGATGGTTCTCAGTCTGTATCAACAATATGAAGCTGACACTACCGTGCATTCATGAATGTGCTGAGGGTAAAACGTGTCACATAAGCTGAGTGCCCATGACAACATTCAGTCAAGAAGAAAAATTCTACTAATGGTAGACAAATTGCTTCTCTGCAGAACTGTCCAGATTAAATACTTCTTGTTATTTTGTTCTTATCTATTGTGCTTAGTTTGTACATACTAGGCTTTATATAAGGGATCTTTGCAAACCAAAAGAAGCTAAAAAGAGTTTTGTCTATTAATGGTTCATAGTGATATTATTACTTGCTTTTGTCAGGATGACAAAGGGTCTCAATCAATTTTAATTTTATATAACTAGAATTCCTGATTACTTTTCCAAAGTGATGAATTACTGTTCATTACTATTAGTCATGATATATATAAACAAAATATTAACTGTCCAAAAAAGGTATATGATTGTTATTTAATGTGGTAGGTGTTCATTTTCCTGATGAATACAAAGGAAGTTATTATCTTGAGGTTGTTTTTCTCCATGTGTTTGACACCTTATAATTTATAAAAGTGACATATATCAATTAACCAGAATATGGGATCACCTAAAACATACAATTCTTCAACCATCTGTAATTCAGAGTAATGTCCTTGGTTGAAGAGAACACACACACACACACACAGAGCTCTAGAAGGCCTGGATTTCCACAGCTGGGAAGGGAAATGGGGTGATGAGCCACAGCACTGAAGCAGAGACACTCCTTCCCCTGCCTGGGATGGAGAGCTGCCTTAGCAGAGGGTGTATTAAGAGGTTATAGAGCAGACTGTTCAGCATCTGGAAGGGGTGTAAGAGGTACTTTGATTTTCTGTAGAGGTTTAGCTACTTTATTAATTTAATATTTTAGTTTATTCAGATAACGAACAAATTTTACCTATTTCACAATACAGATTTCGGGGCACAGTGGTACTTCTATTCTACCATCTCTGCTGCCCATGTTCCCCCACCACCCCTGCCACCCTCCTCTTATTTCTGAGGAGGAGAACTGAGCTCATTAGGTGTTTCAATGACGCATCCATCACATACACATACAAGGATGAGGGATATGAGCAAGAGAGTATAATATATATGTATATATCCATACACAAAATAACCTGATTAGTCTTCTATACCATTCCTTTTCATTGCTTCATTCACCATGAATAGCCAGCAAGTCTTTGTAACCAGAAAGTTAAAGCAGTAGTCTAAAAACAGGGAAGAAATTTTGTCAAAGAGCTACAGCACTCAGAGAGGCTTAGTGGATAGAGTAAATAGTTCAAAAACATGCTGCTATCAAGTGAGAGGAAGACACTGGCTAATGTCCCAGACTGTGGTCATAGTCATCTCCAGGGCGTTCATTTTCTGGCTGCTTTGTTTGATAATAGGTGCTTTTGGAGTCCTAGCATCCCCTCTCACTTGAAATATCTGCATATAAAGCACTTTCCTTTATGAAAAACAGACAGGAGCTTGAACTACGTGACTCTGCATTTTATTTAATATATTTTCTGAGGAGTGGAAGATAGCAATCAAAATTCAGTGTTAGTATTGGAC